AGGCTGTCTTCAGAATATTTAAGTCATTCCACAGTTGAAATAGGCCTTGCATGCTGCTGACCTTCTGCTTCTAAAATTCATTTGATGAAGAAAACAGTTCATCTCTTTAATTGGAATTGCATGATGATCTGGTAGTGTAATATAATCACTCTGGTAAAGAAAGCATGAGGTCATAGTGGAAAGATTTTGTCCCATCAAGAAACAGCAGGTTTTATTCTTCCTTTCATTTGTAAGAAAACAGTCGTATGCAATATTCATTACAAGAATGGCTATTCTGTAACTACTGGTGGTCTTACAAGAGAAGAAAGAAAAACAACAGAAAATTGCATCACGTTTGAAATATGTGTTACCTGATGTCTCTTAGCTGAAATCTCTCAAGAAGTTCCAGCTATTGTCCAAGTTGAAGACAGAATTTTAAGTCAATCTTTTTGATATTCATGGGAAATCACCGGGAAAATTAATACAGTTGTATATATTTTGCTGTTACTATGAACGCTTGGTGAATCTCATCTCTATTGTCTCAAATCTGTAACCACCCCATTATCTAGTAGTATTAGGGTTTAGGAAAACTTTCATGGACAGATCTCTTGAGTGGGATTGAAGTAATGCTGCACAGCTGTGGTAGGTGTATTTTGCACTTGGCTAAGTCTGTACCCACAGAAGGATCATCAGAATGATCCGCAAGCTGAATGCCCATTAAAGTCCTATTCCAGCTTCTCGCCTCTCTGGCTGCATTCCTGGCTGGTAATATCTTCCTTTGCTATATGGCTAACAAAACAAATCATGCTCTCTTCAACTACACTCTTCATCTCTGTCATACTTGCTTTCATTCCCTGCTTTGATTTCTTGCTAGAGTTAGTGGTCTTGACTAAATTCAGAAAGTGGCAGAAGATACTTTTCCATTTGGATTAATTTTGAAATTTTAGATGCTTTTCAAGAGTCGTCTTCTTCCTTGCCTTTAATTAGCAGTGCAACCATGACAAATTTCTGTGAACTCCCCAACTTCTATGAACTAATATCAAGGCCTGAGATAGAATGGGTTTTGCACTCAGAAATGTTAGCATCCAAAATGTGAAGGCACTTTTCTCAAGGTTTGTTGAGGCCTCAAACTGAGTGGTTCATACCACTGTCTCTGATCATCTGATAAAGGGGACCTTGTAGTTGTGTAGCTCCAGAAGAAGAAGCAATCTGTGCCCCATATCCAATCTTGACTGTTAATGGCAGGGTAAATGTGAGTTGTCAGCTTCACAGCAGGTGACTAGAGCCCTTTTGTTCACTCCATTAAATCTCTTCCTGGTGTTTGTAAATTTAGTCCTCATTTAACTGGCCAGTCCTTCATCAGTCCTGTTGTCTCATCTTAAAAACAGGGAATAACCTTTATCAGGTTGAGTTGATAAAATCGTGCAGTGGAGTATATCATATTTCTAAAGTACATCTTTACACCAGTTAGGGTTATAGAGATGCATTCCTTCATCTGGACAGATTGTGCCTCAGGAAATACACGTGGAAGATTTTGCATCTATATTTCTTCGCCCTGGTAACTAGCGACAGAACAAGAGGAAATGGCCTGAAGTTGTGCCAGGGGAGGTTCAGATTGGATATTAGGAAAAATTTCTTCACTGTAAGAGTCGTTAAGCATTGGAACAGGCTTCCCAGGGAGGTGGTGGACTCACCATCCCTGGAGGTGTCCAAAAAACATTTAAATGTGGCATTTCAAGACATGGTTTAGTGGGCATGGTGGCATTGGGTAGATGGTTGGACTTGATGATCCTTGAGGTCTCTTTCAACCATAACGATTCTATGATTCTATGATTCACTAATTGCAACAGGACCTGTGCAGAAGAGCACGAAACATATTCTCTCTGTTTATTGTCTGGTGAGAAAGACTAGGGTTTCTGGTCTTTCAGAAAGAAACCTCTGGAAAGGAAGAATTGCTAAGAATAAGGGTTTTCTATGTAGGAAGCTTAGGGCTACTACATATTCCCACTTGTCCCCCCTGTACCACGGGGACTACAAAGTACTGCCAATTAGAAACTATTGGAAAATGGTTTCAGCATAGTGGCCACATGTCCTAGCTTGTAGGCTCAAGAATTTCCATAATACCCCTTTGATACTCTGCTCTTAAAAAGGAAGAAAAAAGTCCATGGAGAAGATCTTCACTTGCTTGGCAGTAATCTGATTCCAGCATGGAAAATGGCATTCCCCACTTCTCATCCATTCCTGTTCTTTTTGTCTGTGTGCCTGCATCATTGAAACCCAAGTGTAGCACTATATTTCTGATTATATTTTGCGTATGTCAAGAAAGTTTCAGTTTCTTTAATAGAAATGAGTGAAGCACAATACCCAAAAGTAAAGTATTTTCTGTGTGATTATGCATGATGCAATAGATCTCTCTACGTAGTCATGCTTTTTTGTATGAATATTTTCTAGTTCTCATTCATAAATGTCTGTCTTTCCAAACTATGCCTCTGGCAGATCTTAGCATAAATATCAATTTATTCACCACTTTCTTTTTTAATACTAACATACTTAGCATAGACATTTTTCCTTTCTTTTTTTTTCCAGTCAACATTTCTGTTTAGTTTATAGGCTCTGAAGAACTGTAACCCACTGTTGTGATTTTATTAGTCGCATAGTTGGCACAATTCATCACAGCCATTCAGCTTACCTTGAGGGAAACCATACTACTGACATTTGAAAAACAGTTATAATCCTGGGCAACACAGAGTTATATTTTAATTGTTAATTGGTCAAAATGAATGCTGGAATGAATGCTTCTAATTTCAGAATAGGTCTACAACGCTTACTAAAAAGTTACTGGAAGTTATTAAAACAAGTTCCTAACAGCATATTTAAATTTAAATCCAGCTAATGAAACAGTAATTCTCTCCAAAATGTTCTTCCACCTATGCCTTAAGATATTGGGTAATATTTAACATGGGTAGTGTCTATTGTTTTGGTACCAATAAAATTACATAGTAGAGTGTTTGATTCATGTTGTTTGGCTGAGGAAGCATTTAAAAGTATGTAATGGGTTGTCATTGGTAGAGCAGAATGACTGAATTTGAAGAGGTGTATTTCACTAAAGACTTGTTTTTTTCTTGTAGATCAACTTAGTTTGCACAGGCTTCTTCACAGAAGATAAGAGAATCAGATTTTATGCGTTTGCACACAGTTTTATAATTTCCAAAGGAATACAGCAATTTCAATGCTATTCTGTAATTATTTCAAAAGGGCTGTTTTCATCCATATGGTTATTTCTTTTCTTTATTTCCTTGATGTGGCTGCTCATGGTCTCCTAGAAACTTGTCACTATGTTTTATTTTTTGGATGTCAGTGGCATGCTTCATTAGAAACAAGTTGTATTGAGTTGCATTTCCAGAACTGCACAAGCCAGAAAACATGTTTTTATACATTTACACATCTGTAAAAATGTATGATCACTGCCCATGAGGCCCTTGGACAATACTATTTACAAGTCAAAGAAGTTTCATTGACTTCACTGGGATTAGGACTGAATCTTAATTTACTGCACAGGGAAAGAATAATCATGTACTACTTGCGAGGTTTAAGTCTAAAATGCTGCTGGTTTTGAAAAGTATAAATAGAGTCAACTTATTTGTCTAGTGCCAATGATACTACTGATGAAATTAAAGCTTTGCTTACATTATATAACAGGCAGGTATAAAGTGCCAATATACTTCACAGAGGGGATATTCTCCACCTAAAATGGCAAATGTTTTGTTATTTAAGTGTAGTTTGAAGTTCTCTTATTAATGTGCCATGTAGTTTTGGACAATTACAAAAAGTATGTTATGTTCTTTCTATATGTTTATCAAATCTTATAAGTAACCAAGTTATATGTGCATGGGTGTAGAAATAATCAAAAGAACAATTAAACAAAAAGCATCCGACTTCTTTAAAAAATCTGTATCTTGTTTTTAAGAAAAGCTGTTGGTCATAGTAGGACTCTGAGAAGTCACAGGAGTAGATTAACAGAAACCCATGTAAAGGGATTTTTAAGTGATTAAGGCCTTTCAGTGTTAGTCTCGTATTTCCTGAGGAAATCAACTTCTCCATGTTTTCTGCACACTAAAATCGTAAGTACAAGAATTGTATCAAAAGGCTTTACCAGAGAAAACAGTTAAACCATTAATTTGGTCACATGGTAGAATACATTTTGGAATGTGGGGGTCTGTTTTAATGTCATTTATAATTTCTTCTAAAATTTTGATATCTTTCTGATGCTGATGATATTTATGAGTTCTATGAATCCTCAGAGTCATTTGGAAGGTAATGTACTAATCCTTTCAGGAATCTAATGAAACAAACAGATACTGTCTTCATTTTACAGACAATAGTGCTGACTTGTAACAGGAGAGAGGAGATTTCAGAAGTGGCTAGGTCACATGAGGCACATTAGAATATTTCTTCCTAAACAAGGGAAAGCAGACACTTGGCCAGATTCTGGCCACAATTCCACCTTTCTTTGGCTCCCTGGGGATGTAAAAAGAATTGGTAGCAGCCATGCGACTGCTATAATCTACAGGACCAACCAGTTCCTGTAGCTTCAAGCATGACAGGAGTGGCAAGATAGTTTAAAGCTGCCCTTTCTCCTCAGCCGTGATGAGTAGTACTTGGTGCATGTAATATTTAGACCAGTATGCTCATGGCACAGCCAAGATTACAACTCAGGAGTTCCTGGCTCCCTAGATTGTGTTCACAACATTAGTCAAGCCAATTCTCAAACATGTTTTCTCTTGTAAAAGTTTTGTGGGCCAAATCTTCATTTGATACTAGTTATTATAGGTACAGAGCTATGGAGCAATTTACAGCAGTTGAGGATCTGACCTTTAAATGAAATTATATCAGCGTAACCTTTGCTCAGGCAATGTGTACCATGGAGTTGCCCTGGTTTTGAGAACTCTCCAGAGGAGCATAGCTATGGTTATTTGTGACTTGTGGCCTCTTTCTTGTATCTGAAATTATTTACCCTATTCATGTCAGATATTGGTATCTCTCCACTCTTCTGGTTACCTGAAAAAGCACAGGTAAAAGAGTATAGGTAAAAAGAGGCATTATTTGCAATTTCAAGATTAAGTAAATATATGATTTCACAAAGATCAGTTGGTGCTCCCAGTAAACCAAATTACAGTTAATTCTTCTGTGCAGTCCAATATAAGAGAGTTTTTTCCTGGCACTACTTCTTGCTTTTTTATTACTTTTATATTGTACTTTGAAATAAATAAGAAATTGTATTTTTTCCCCCAAATGAATAACTATATTGAATTGTTCATACTGCCTGAATTTTCTTAAGCTTTACTCGTAAGTAAAGGTTAAGATGCTTTCCAGTATTGCTAATCAAGTTTGCTACCACTAATATGGGAATGCCTGCTATTTTTCCATTTGCAATGTAGTACACACCAGAAGATTTTATCGAATATGACTATGAGTATGGGGATGCAGATTATAAAGAAACTGATTCTGTAACAGAGGGACCCCCACTGTTTGAAGAGACAGTAGCACAAACAGAGGTAACACAATCTGATCTGTTTGTTGTGTGGTGTCCAGCTGTCCCCTACCACATGGTTTGTCAATTTGTGTCTTCTGTATATAAACTTAATGTTTTCCTTCACTCATTTCTTTACTCTATAGCTGTAACACTTGCTTTCAGTTAGAGATGGAAGGTCTCGTGGCTGACAGCATTCATCTCATATTTGGTTACCTTTCTTTCATTCATTCTTTCTCAATTTTCTTTTCATTTTATTTATGTTTTCCCATTCCATCTTCCATAACGTTTGCAGAAAAAGAAAGCCATGGTCAAAAAGAAGAAGAGGACAGTGGCCACTAGCTCAAAGGACAAACCCCAAAAGGCCACCACAAAAAAATCTGAAAAATATGCACCCAAGAAGAAGAAAAGTTATCAAGCAGCAACAAAAGGCAAACTAGGGGTAAAGGTAGCCAAGAAATAATCAAGATCTTTCCCAGGCCAAGACTGGAAGATCTCTGATAATAAGAAAAAATATACCTAACCCCACTAGATGAATACGTCTGGCTAATGCCATAACCTGAATAAAAGTGCTACCTCTTGAATTTTTCCTACAGGGTTTCTTTAAATAATGTACTTTTTCTTTAATACTAGGCAAACGTTGTTGATGGATTTCAAGAGTATAGCATAGCTGAAAATGACTATGGGCCCCAGACAGAAGCTCCCTCCAGAACTACTGAAGCAAATGAGGTAATAATGACTCTTGAGAAACTGATAGGTAAAAATACTTGCCTACCAAATGTCAATGATTAAAAAAGCACAAACACATTTTAAAAAGATGAATGTCCATCTGTGTAAATATATGTATCTATAACAGCAGTTAATGTAATTTTATGCTTTCTCAGCCAATATCAGAACCTACTATTTTCTTGGGTGCAACTCCCATTAATTCTGTAGAGATCTACCTAATCTTTAGACTGCAGAGTTCATGATTCTGGAAATCATTCAGTGATGTATGCTGTGGGAATGCAGGGTTGTTGCATTCAGTGTGGATGTGAATGGAGCTATGCCTAGTATAAACTAGGTTAAATACTAGACATAGCCCTCCTGATCTAATAGGAAGTGAAGTCTCTAATTTTTCCTGTAATTCTTAAGATGCAGCATAAAATGAGCCTAACACAAGACAAAGAATGGCTGCAACCATAGCAGCATACTGAAGTTAAGTCAGAAGCTGTCATTTCCTTTTAATAGTTCTTCAGCTAACAAAACCAAATTATTTGCTTTTCACTGAGGTTCTATTCAAATGAAACATTGTATTTTGAACTGTCAAAAAAGATAAAATTATTATTTTGATTTATATTAGAAATCATGTTTTTAGAAAGCCACAATGACAAGCCTAAACATTATTTTGTTAGGATTACTATACCTAAGCCAGTGTTGATTAATATATCTGCATATTAATTAGTGCTAGTTTTAGAAAAATGATGGCTGATTATAAGAAATATTGTTTTCATTTTTCTTTTACATTTTCCTTTCAAAAAGAAGATATGTTACTTAAAAGATGTACAAAACTGCCCCCCTCCCTGAACATTTGAAAAGAGTAAATGAGTCCCCACTTGTTTTTTGGTTTTCTTCCTATGTATCTTGAAAGGTGAAGGTGAATTAAGGTATATTTTACTCATTCTGCTGTAAACTGTTCTTGTGAAAAATCTCATTTACTTCTCACAAGTTGATTGATAGATGCGTATCATTCTGTTTCTTGGGCAATTATAGGCCAATTGTACAATAGTACAGTTGTAATGAGGCAGATCCAAAATGCTAAATGCTCTCTTTAGTGAGATCAGTTTTGCATAAAGGCAAAATTTGGCTTAGAATTGGTTCAGATCTGCATTTACTCTAGCTGTAAGGCAAAAGTCATAGTCCTATAGCTAATGGAATTAGGCAACTGTTAAATCAGAATCTGGCCTTCTATTTTAATTGCAATATATTTCAGTATCATGATTAGATCAAGATATTTTTAGTTACTCTGGATGTTGGTTAGCTTCTTAATATATTTTTAAGATGATACTAGTTCATCTTGTCTGACCATATAGACTATCCATCTCTCATTAGCAATATCTGAACTTTGATTCCTTTCAAAATTGTCTTTTCAAGAGACCTCTGTGACAGAATAAAGCAATTCTCTTTTTTTTTTTTTTTTTTTTTTTTCCACAAATGGTTTTGTACATCTTAAATGTAGCATTCTTTTAAACTGCTTTGGTGCTTGTAAGTTGGTTGCTTGGTTTGACAGTTTACATACCTGAAGATGAAAGCTTAGATTTCAGAAATGTTAAAATTAATCTGAGTTTTGTAGGTGGAATTTGACTCAGACAAAAAATATATAAATTGCCATGACAGACATGAACCATGACTTTTAGAGTAATAAATAAACTGCAAGATCATTAACAAGAGAAAAGAAGTTGAAATATTTAGCTCAGCATTGGTATTTATAGACACAAAATAATGAAGAAGGCTGGGCTTAACTAAAGTGATGCTTGCACTTCCGGTACATTGTTATTGTAAAAAGGTCTGAATTTATTCACTGGTTCATTCATGAATGCTTGTAAGTGTTAAACCAAGCAGGGAAATTTAGCTGTATTTGGCACTAAAGTAACATTAAGCAAGCAGTACACATAGCGTACTGGATATATTGAATTCAATGTTTTTGGAAATTAAAAAAAAAAGGCGTATGAAAGCACTACTTCTTTGTACTACTTATACAGAGATCTTTTAATTACTCTGAAATGCTGGACGTGCATTCCTTCAGACTCTAATTAAAAGACAATATGCTGTAGTTCTACTGTTCTTTCTTCTTTTGACAAGTCATCATGGTGGATCAGCATATGCTTACATTGCTTTACTAACAATAACCCACGTATTCCTCCTATTCCCAAATCTTTGCTACTGATATGAATAGCAAAATCCTGTTGAAGAAGTATTTGCTGAAGAATACATAACTGGAGAGGATTATGATAAAAAAACTGAGGAAACTGAATATGGAAGCAGAGGAGTAGACCTCAGTGAATCTGATCTGCTGGTAGATGGAGATTTAGGCGAATATGATTTTTATGAATATAAAGAATATGAAGAGAAACCAACTGATTCCACTAATGAGGAGTTTGGTCCAGGTGTTCCTGCAGAGACCGATATCACAGAAACGAGCGTAAGTTGATTGGAGGCATAATGCAGATTAATCTAATTTAGTGATTCTTTTATAGTTATACAGTCTCAGAACTATACAGACACTGATCCAGAGCTCCTTGTACATATTAGACACATTCACACTTTTGATAGGCTTTGGATCAAGACCATCCTCTTGTTTAAGTAATCCTGAATTTTTATTTTTATTAAATGCAAGTTTTTTGTCTCTTTTGGTGAAGGGAGTAAGGGAGGGTTGAAGATGGGAGGGAAAGGAAAGAAGAGGTGGAATTCCAAAAATAAAATATAAAATTAACAGTTTTAAAAATCTTTAGATCTTTTTTAGAACTAGAGCTAAAGCTGGAAAGAATGCAAGTTTTAATGCAGGTGCAAGTATTGTAATTAATATTTTTATATGATTACCCTAAGAAGTTGAAATGTATATAAGTGTATAGAATCCTATGGCTTCTGCTGCTTTCCAAGGAGAAAATTCATGAGTGGGAAGGTGAAGGTCTGAGCCTTTTCATGAAAATAAGCTTAGTCAATGGTGACAGGTTTATGACCTTGCAGGAGTGATTTAACAGCTCAGTATATATAAAGGAAGATAGGATGACATGGTGGATCCTGTGAATCATGCTCTTTTTTGTGTGTTTTATAGCGCTCTCTT